CACTGTTCAAACCTGCACGGCATTGTCAGCACAACAGCTGATAGCGAGCCCTAACCAAGGATTAAAGCTTCCCATGCTGCAGTCAGCTGTCTCAGAATGGCAACCTTCTACACAATGACCGCTCATAGTAGAGGAAGGTACTTTTTGTCCTCCAGTTCCTGCCACAGGCAAGAGGAGCTTTGTGCTGATTTTAGGGTGAATAATTCATACCTATTAAGATCACTAGCATTACAGCTGCTTTCTTGCCTCCACAGCTGGCAGCCACCTGCAATATTGAGCAGTCCTTTTTCAATGACTGGTTCACCGGACACCTGAACTTTCAAATTGAGCACCAGTGAGTATGGACCCAGTATCACTTGGTCATTACCAGGTGGTCGTAACACTGGACTTGTGGCAAGGGATAGTCTGCTAAAAACATATGTGTGAGATGGGGCAGAATCACAGAGAAGCCCAAGATTGGAAGGGATCTCAGAAATGATCTGGTTCAAACTTTCATGGTAAAAGCAGAGACTACATAAGATTGTCTAACACCTTCTCTAGTCAAACCTTCCACTTCCCTTTGAAGCACTACCATATTCCAACCAAAGACAAACCCAGACAACTGGGGGTTGTTGTTACTAGAGGCACGGCATCTTTCTCTCGTGCTACCCAATACTTCAGCTTTCACTCTCCTAGTTTTAATTCAGGTTTCAGTTAAGTCATTGGTACAAAACTGCAAGATACAAAGGCTATGGATTTGGATACTAAAGCTCAAGAAGTTATCTTAAGATACATTTCAGAAATGTCCTTTCCCTAAATAAAAGGGCATCAGCATTTTACGGCAGGAAATGTGGGACTGTACATACTGCTGACTACCAGGTTTCAAGAGGGGTACTAAAACCAGGGCAGTCGTCAGTGCAAAATGTAATAGAGACCACATTTAGGGTAAAGCTGACTGGTTTGGAAGTCAGCTTAGGAAATCTCCATTGAAAAGTATAGGGCAAGGTGACCCCAGGTTCTTTACCTGTTTCTGTGTTCCATGAGATGGAAAACGGGGCCACTGATAATTCAGTTTGGCAAGAAACAATTAGTACTGCCCAAAGCAAATGGGCAGCTGTCTCAGCAGAGCGAGGCTGCTTCCTTTCTTCTTGTTTGCTTTGTATTGCACTAGTAGCATCCTTTCCTTCATAAACTGACTTTTATTGTCTCTCTTGAACACAGCTTTGTTCTGAGGACTGAGAGCAGCAGAATAGATGTATTCTGTTCTCACAAGCTGTTCTTGAAAGAAGTTCTTGAAACAGCATAATGTAAAGCATGGATCTCCACCTCTCTTTCTTTTTTCTATTGGTGCAGCTCAAGAAGGCATTAATAATTGGCCCCATGAGAAGGCGGATGGAGATGCCCATCCCTTGAGATTATGCTCTAGATTTTTCTCAGATGTTTTCTCTTTCTCTATTCAAGCCTGTTCCCAACAATGCCACGGCACAACTTCTGGAAAATCAAACCCCTGGTGAAGTCGTTATGTGCCAAGTATGGAGTCCAGTATGAAGAGAAGCCTCTTGGAAAAGCATTTGTAGACATAGTTGGGTAAGGTTCTTTTATTAACATCAGCAGCTTGCAATTCAGTGTTACACAAGCATCCTATCATTTCTACTACAGATCATTCAGAACACTTTGAGAAATAGCATATCAGCATTTTGTGATCTGGTATCACTAGTAATACCTTCACATCACAGCCCAAGGAATACCTGAAGATATCTTGATCCTGCAGAAATGGCACGGCCACACAGCCCCACTGGTGTAGTGGACTGATGCCAGATTGCAACTGCCATGGTAATGGGAAGATGGGGTGGTGGGGTAGGAAAGTGCTATCCCCCAAAGCTGCTTCTGCAACAAGAGCACTTCTATCGAAGTACTTTGAAACTGGTCAATTTGGGGGCCCAAAGAGCAAAATAAGCAGCTCCTCTGGTATTCTAAGGTATTCATTTTGTGGGATTCGTGTTCAGACCCAGTAACAGAGTTCTCCTTTCTAGGAACAAAGTGACAGAGGTTCACAAGCCAAACAAGCCTCTCTCCATTTTCTTTCCCCAGGTCACTAAAGAAATCTGGAGATTTATGGCTGGATGCTTACCTCCACAAGTGAATATGAGTCTTAATGGGGAGGTGCGAGTCACAGGGAGGGATGGGGGTAAGGGGGGAGATCACATACGTGTCTTTTACTATGAGAATTCGGTCTATTTCTATGTGCACAAATTGAGGGGAGTTTCCTGTCTTGTGAACTGCTACTGGTGTGAGCTCAGGCAACCTGTTAAATCCAGACGGGCGTAAAATGTGCTTGGCGTAGCCTTCAGAGGACAAGATCCAACGCACAAAAGGAAGGGTGGGAGAGGACAGAGAGAAGTGTCTAAAAAGGAGACATTTAGCATCTGCCCTCCACCATCTCCTCGCTATTCACTCATTCTGCCTAAAGCACACAAGCTGCTGATTCACATACATGACTTGTTAGACTTCAGCAAGCCCAGGGACAATCCTAGGACACCCATGTCAGCTCTGCTGCAGGAACCTCACCCCATGGGGCCCAGCAGCCATACGCTGTGGCTTTCAGTCCTGCCCATCAGTAAAGCATACTAATTGCCAATCAATCCTGTGTAACCACAAATGGTTTTTTCACCTGAGCAGAGCTTCGGCAACACCCAGTTCTGCCTGTCTACACGTGCCCAGCAGAAACCAGGGCTGTTTATCTTGTCAGAGGCCTGGGCTACGTGCCCTGCTCCTGAAACCAATCAGCAAAGAAAATGGGTTCCTTCTGGAGGAGGAGGAGCTTCCCAACCGCTCAGCCTGACCACAGGCTCTAGGGGGAGGTGGCTGAAGGCAGAACTGACCAGGATGTGCCAGTGATGTGAAACCTCCCGTAAAAACATCTTACAACTTCCTTATAACTCTATTCCCTGTGCAGTGTCCTAATAGCCAAAACCCATGAATAGCTCAACCAGAGGATATAGTTTAACAGCTGCCAGTCGCTTCACTAACGTGCAACCCAATCCCAAGCCCACTCCAGGTAGATCAAGACCTTTGGATTCAGCTGTAACACAGTGGAAGAGACAGACTCTACAAAGAAGAGCCATAGTACCAACAGCAGCGCTTGGTTCCGACAGCTTATCTCAGCTCCAAACACATTTCCTAGTACAAGAGATGCCCTAGTTATTAGGCGATTGCACAAATAATTGCATTGCCCAACACTGAAATTGGATCCTCACTTTTGAACCTTCAGTGCCAGTAAAGCTCCACCAAATCGCAAGGTTCTGCGTGCAGAGACAACTCCAGAGCTGTGGCTGTGCCCTTCCAAAAAAATGTATTGTCACCTCCCACTTTGGAAAATTGGATGAGATTTCTATGTTTACAGACAGGAAATTCATAGGTAGGACTATAACTTAACCTAGCTACTAATACTTCAGATTTACAAAGGGCTTATTTTTGTGTTCTTGCTCATCCCTCACCTGAACATCACAATGAATTGTTAGGATTAAAAGCTACTCCAGGTTATCTGACACTTGAACAGAATGTGAGCAGTTCTTATAGTTGATTTCTAATAGCACAAGCAGTGATGTCCTTCTGGATGCTGTAACTTCTCAGACAGGTAGTAATGGGCTAGTCCAGAATTCTGACCAACACTGCTAAGAATGCCTTAATATGTCCATCTAGTTTTGACTCCTCGAATGGGCATTTTTCTTCCCAAGACCTTAGCACAAGATACCAAATAGAAGAAAGAGGGGACAGGAGAGATCTTGATATTAGCTGTTTTCCAACTACTTCCTCTTTCAGATCCTTGAAAACTCCCAGTTTTATACAAATTATGCAGCTGCTTGAATCCAGAAATAAAACCTGCGTAATGCTATTGTAAGAAGTGACTTCCAGGATCATACACTGTTCTTGCTGCTGCAAGATATAAAGGTCTTTTTTCTTTTTTTGCAAAGTACTGGTCACCAACCCCTTGTAGTGTAGTTTAATAATTGTACTTTTATGTTCAGAAAGTTTGTCTTGTCAAAATGCAAGAAGCTGGTTACTTTTTTCAGACAAAGCCTCACTGACAGCCTTACTCATGTAGTTTCTTTCTCTCCCTCCAAAAAATCCCAGCCGACCATCTTGGGACACACAGTGTTTCACATGCACCTTAATGTTTGAGTTCTCCACCCAATAACTCAATCAAACACACCCCTGGCAAAGAGCCCTGAAAATCTAGAGAAATCTGTCTTGTTAAGATTTTTACAAAAGTGAAATCTGAAGTGCTCCAGAAGTTTCAGTAAAATTGCGAAGTTGGCCCACCAAAGGACGCAGAGTTCACATGACCTTGCTGAGCTCTGTTCCCAGAGCAAAAAGCTTCCCTTTGCAGGTTCCAGTTAGCCATCAAAACGATATAAACACTGACATCTATGCACAGTTTTGCTCCAACATTCTGAGGACTAAAGCTAATTAATTTCTCTGAAACAAAACAAGGTGAAAACTCGCACATTTTTTCTCTTGACAAAGGCAATCCACATTGCAAACACACATCAAAATCTCCCAAGCGTGCCTGAAGCCTGCCAGGGCATGCAAATAAACTCACCTGAACCACGTTGTTGGCCACACGAGCACTTGGCAACGTACAGAGGCCATGAGTTGGAAACAGCATTTGTTTCGGTCAGATGATGGAAGAACAGGCAGCAGAGGGTTGGCTTGCTTCTCTTCAGTCATGCTAGCAGGGTTTGCCACTGAAGTTGGAGGAGCAGCATGTTCAGAGATGCTTAGAAGAGAAAGGCATTAGCTCTGGACAAGAGGGAGATGGGCATGTGTTTTAGAAGGAATAACACAGAGCTGGGAGAAACATGGGAACAGGCAGAGTGGGAAGACAAACACCAGTGCCATGGACAGGGAAGAAAAGGCACCTTGAAACCAGGTGCTCACATTCCCCCAGTAATTGCTAGTTTCTAATTGGCCAACAGCTGAGGTAGGGATGCTTGTTTCGCTCAGATACCCACAAAGTGAGAAGAAACCAACCCTCACAAGACAGGTTAAAAGCAGCCATCTTCCAGCCACGGCCTCTTCTAGCAGATGCTTTCCTAAGAAAGACTTCCTAACCGAGTCCTAACATTTCAAGTGTTCCCTACGAATTGTTAAAACACCAGATCTACATTCCTGATAGGACAGCTCCTGTTTATTTCATTCTTCAAAAAAAAAACCAACAATCTCAAAATATTTTTTCCAGTGTATTCTATTGCTCATTAAAATCATAACTATTTGTTGACCATAAAAATGCACTCTATGTTTTCTTCAGTCGTATCCTAAGTCATTGCAATGTCTCAGTAGAAAGTCCTTTTCCACTGTGCGGGGTGAAATGGCTTTTATGGCACTGACAACAGAGAGATGTCTTCATGGCCTTCCCAAAGCCCAGAACAATGGCAGTGTTTACACTTGTCTTGGAAACCACAGCCAAAAGGAGTCTTTTCCATGTAAAAAGGTTGGCCCAAATGTTCAAACTCAGTCTCCAGGCACTTCAAGAAGGCAGGTGAGATCAACATGGATACAGAAACTTCAGTAAAATCTTCCTACAATGTGTCAAAACTCACTTTTGCTGCCCATTAATGGCTCTCCCAGCAGTGCAATAGGCAGCTTGCCAGTGGCTTCTCCAATGGGCAATGTGGTCCAACAGAGTTGGTGGGCTTTAGGTCAGCCCAGAGGCTTCCACACAACAGCATGTAATGGAACTGGAAGCCTGCCTTGCGGATAAACTCACCTGAGCTGCACTAGCAGTAGCAGAAGCACACAGCAGAGAGTAGGAATCACATAGGCTGACCCAGATCTTACAACACAAAGTCAGGGAAGGACAGTCCATGGTTATCTGCTACTTTCTATCAACACGGTTTTTCAGAGTACACATTAATTGCTTCATAGGTAAACTAATTCTGCACAGAAAGCATTCTATGAGAAGTCATAGAACTCAAAAGGGAAAATGACCCTACCTTGCTTCATTACAAGGATTTCTATTTGATCCTAAAATAAGCACATTCCCTTTAATACATTACACAAAGATGAAATGTTGCAAATCGATATATTACTTGCCTTTCCTTCTTGGTACAACTGTTCCCAGAACCCCTGAGCATCCCAACACAACATAGCCCTAAGGGGAGCAAGGGCCTGGTCGTTCTGAGCTCATGTCCTGGATTAAGATGCCTACACCCAAGCCATGTATGACAGCCATACAAAAACACTTCCTGGTTTTACTCAGTGCCCTATTCAACTCTATTTTAAACTGCTTAATGACCTAAGAATAGAGAGATTTGTAATTGGCAAGATATAAAAAGAAGCCTTCATCCATTAGCAATATTGCTTTAAAAAAATCTTTTTGATTCTTCTGTAAAGGCTCAATTCCAGATATCTCAGAAAACAGCATATAACTCTGGACAGAGAACCATCATCTGCTTGAAAGCTGTATTATGAGGAGTATAAAGGGGAAAATGCAAAATGCCAGGACTCAAAGGCAAGCTGGAAAATGAGTAATCCACCCATGGTATATCTAACACTGCCATAGGACAGAGCTGTTTGTCACCACACAGTTTTCCTTTACATCATATAGTGGTGGCAAGAAACTCTACACAATGATTCCATCATCCTGGAAATTTCGCATACAGGGGCTTGAGAGTCAAGAGGTTGTTTTTCTTTTTCAGAAAGACAATTTGAGACATATCGTTTGTTTAGCAATCTGAAGTCCTTTTCCATTGCAAGTGCATGTTTTCAGATGCACCGTAATCCCCTAGCACAGGGGAAATCCCCCAGTTTAGCTGGATGCTCATCATCTCAGCCAGAGCCTGAGCCCTGGGCTGTTCCAGCAAGAGATACCAGAAACATATTGCACAACTCGGACTAAATAATAACCTTCCTCTAATGGAAAAGAAGGAGAAGAGGAGAAGCAGAGGAGGAGGAATTTCAGAGCATGGAGTTTGCAAAGGTGGAATCCTTAGCATACAGATGAATGGCACAGGGAAGAGAAGATCTTTATAAAAGCTCCCATTTGTACAGAAGTTAATATTCTCACGTTCCACTTACTGACAAATTTAAGATGGGTGCGGACAAATACTGCCCAGAAACAACATGAGAACGATTACACCAATAAGAGGATAACCTCTGTTGTTGGCATTTTTTTCCTGTTTCTGAATGAGAAATTTACTGAACCTGAATACACCATTGAGATTGCAGTGCAGGTGACTGATCATTTCTACATCTGAATCTTCCCTACGTGGCTTATGGACTGATTCATGAATTGTCTAAATTCACTTCATTCCTGTTGGCAACCACAGTGTGCTCAAGCTGAGAATGTGAGTCATATATAAAGTTTAATCTAAAAACAATCTGCTGTAACCCTGAACAAAAACAGCAGACACCCACTTCTAAGGGGGTTTATAGGAAAATCTTAGTGATATAGTCCAGCAATCCAAAGATACTGATGAATAGCGTCTATGTGTTTACCATGTACTTCCCTTTTCCTTATAAACATAATGTAAAATGACAACAGTGCCATGTGTGTGGAAAGGTAAGCTTGTTTCCTGAAACATATCAGTGCAAGGCTGCTGATTATGGATCTGACACATTTGCCCTTATGGTAACAAGCACTGTGTGTACACAGCAATATAAAATAGAACCATAACATCAGTATTATCCAACAATTTGCCTTCAGTTTTTCTGGGCTCAATGGAAGAATGGACTTCTTCTGACTCCTGCAGAGGCTGCTTGATTGCAAAGATGGGGAAGTTCCACTGATGCAAATGGTGACTTTTGACTTAAGGATGGTGTGATTCTGTAGCAGGGCTCTCCCACCCACTGCTAACAACAAACATGTCAATGGCAAACACAGCTCAGGTCAAGCCAAAAAAAAGATAAAGAAGGCTAGGGAGAAATTTAAGGCTTCTGGGAAATGACTGGGAAAAAGGCAAATAAAAAGGATCCTCACAAAAGAGCACATCTCTTGCCTGGAGCAAAATCCTCAGCACAGGCACATGTGTGCCTTATTAGCCAGGTGCTGGATTTATATGACCGTGAGAAGGTTAATCACAGTAATTGCTTGCAATTGCACATGTCCACGCTGAAATGGGTGTAGCTGTTTTTCTTGTCTGGTTAATTTAATTGACTTCAGTTGTTACTCAGATCTGTTGAATTGTGCAGTGGTCTTATGTAAAACAGAGGAACCATACTGCACACTGCCTCTTCTGTGACTGTTGTCATCAGGGACAGCACAAAGCCGGAGTCTCTGTGCGTGGGTCTAGATTTATTCATCCCAGCAGCATTGCACCTTTCACATCCCTACAAAAGTCTACAATTTGCCTGAAAACAAAATGTCTGGGCTTTGAATACTGCAGCATGAAACCGTCTCCGACCTTGGTTGGCCAAGTCACCTCTTCTCCCCTATGTTCTTCTTCCTTCATCTCCCATTTAACTGCCACGTCCTTTGATCTCCATTGGTGCCATTTGTTTAAGCTGGAACAGGCTTGGATGTGGGGTGCTTTTTTTGTTTAGTTGGTCGGTTGCTTTTGGTTTTGTTCCTCTTTTCAGGGTGAGGTGGTGGTGTTTGTTTTAATGTCTTACCACAAGAAAGCCACAATTTTCAGTGGTGCCTTCAAGCGCTGCAAGATCAAAGTTCACTGCTATTGATTCTGGCCCATGAAAAGAAGAGGGAACAGCAAAGAAAATGTTGTTTTTTAATTTTCTTTTCTCCAACCCATTATCATTTCTGCCTGTGTGACTAGAAATCCCTCTATAAGAAGCAAAAACTTGTTGTATCAGGCTACTCTGGGACATGAAGCTGAATCACACACAGAAAGGGGAAGAGAGATTAAGAAGCAATTTCCTTTCCGTTATGTCTGTTTCCAACTCCTAAGGGAAATGTCGGGACAACATTAAAAGTTCTATTGAAATGTTTTATAAATATACCCAAATTTCAGAAAGGCTCTCACAAATGTGTTTCTCCAAGGTTTGTCTATAAACAAACACGGAGGGCAGAGTCATGGTGTGGCAGCACAGTCGTTGCAGTAGCAGAGTTTTGGACCCATCCCAGTGCCTCACTGCCTTTACTGTAAAAAAAAACTTCTTATGTCTAATCTAAATCGCCTCTCTTTTAATTTGAAGCCATTTCCCCCTTCCTATCACAACAGACCCTGTTAAAGACTCTTATTCTGTATCCTCAATGTAAAAGAGTGTTTGGGCTTCCTGCGGTCTGCCTTATAGGCTCTCCCAACACTTAGCCTGCCTAAAAGCACTCTTGACAGCCGCTCACAGGACCGTTGGGCACTGCTGCAATTCCCACTGAAACACTATTTGCCATTCTCACCACACTGCCATCTGTTCAACTGAAAGTTTAATTTGTGCCTCATTCCTTATCGTTTTTATCAACTGGCATTCAGCAGACAGCCTGACAAATGGGAAGGTGATTGAAAGCAATGGAAAAATCATTTCCGTGCAGAAAGAGCAAAGGCCTTTCAGCCGTAACTGACATACGTGCCCATTGTTGTGAGGCATCTTAAGCTGACCTTGAGCTGATTAGCAAAGCAGAATTAGAACAGTGAGGGCAACTAAGGACAAAGAACTGTCCTTGTTCATCACGCCTGTCTGCTGGGGCTCACATCAGCCCTGCTAGCCCCTCTCTGTCCTCTGAGCTCTGACCTCACCACAAAGCACGTAACAGCACACCAAGCCTTCTGCTGGACCACAAGTCAAAGGAATGCAACCGTAGCATTTAAATGGTGACCAAAATCCAAAGGGTATCATTAGAGCTGCAAAGCAAGCAGGGCTGGAATGCGCTCTGCTGTCTGACTTCTCTTTTACAACCAGAGAAATTACCCCTCTGGGGGCCTGTTTTCGTTCCTGATGGTCCTTGCAGATGTTTTGTAAGCCAGCGCAAAGTCCACCTATCTCCACAGGTGAGCTAAAGTCAACGTTCAGCTCCTTTCAGCTCAATCCAATGGCCCTACTCAAACAGGGAAATATCGACATGATAAACAGCAGACCTGACCTCTTGGCTTCCAGCACCAGTGGCACCACAGGGACTGCTCCTGTAAGGACTGTGCTGGCTTGGCATAGCTGCCCAGCCTGCGCCTCAATGTCATGTGCAGCTTTACAGCTGTGCCAGGATATTGACTTCTTCCTGGCAGGGCCGCGTTCCCCAAACTTCCCAAACGACTGGAATTTTCCCACGGCCGAAGGTTCTGATCTATTTGTCATAAAGGAGGGTTGTTAGTGATCATGAAAGCTTTGGAATAGCAGAGTTTGGGGGCAGTTCAGAGGCCATCCGCACACCTCCCCCCCTTCACTTGCATGCACCTGAAATGCTTCCTTTGTTGGTTCCCAGAAACATTCATCTCGGTGCGTTCAGGGGACGGCCTGACCCGCTGTGTATGGACAGCCTGATTTACAGCCCTCTGCAAACCTGGAGTAACCTTGAACGCGAGGTGAAGGACGGGATGGATGGGGGGGACAGCCGTGCCCGGTCTGCCTGTGCCCTCTGGTGGTGCCGAACAGGGAGAACACAGGGCAACAGGGACAGAATCCCACGAGAACCACCATCGCGAGGCCGAATGCTGTTTTCTGCTCTGACTGCACCTCTTTTTCTTTCCCCTCTCTCTTGCTGCCCTTCAAGGCAGTGCCAGAGGTGGCCCTTCATCTCTGTTGGAACCTGAATTCTTTCCTGTGGTGCAGAAGAGAGGGCAGTGGCCTCAGGCTGGTTCAGAGCAGAAGCTGCTTTGCATTCCCAAATAAAGTCTTGAGTGGTTTTTCCTTCTAGGTAATTTCACTGAATCACAGAATGGCTGGTGTTGGAAGGGACATTACAGCCCACCCAGTTCCACCACGAGCTGGTTGCCACCCACCAGACCAGGGTTCCACCCAACCTGGCTTTGAGCAGCTCCATAGACAGAGACCCTCCAGACAGCCTGAGCCAGGGCCTCATCGTCATCCTCACGCTGAAGGTCTTCCTAATATCTAAATCTCCCCTCTTTCATTTTAAAGCCGTTACCCCTGGGATCTGTTTCTACACCCCCTGATAAAGACTCCCTCCCCAGCTTCCCTGTAGCTCACTTTCAGTACTGGTAGGCTGCTATAACGTCACCCCAGAGCCTTCTCTACACTAGACCCCAGCTCTCTCAGCCTCTTCACAGAACTCATCAATCCCAGCAGCTGGGCAGCCTAGAGTCCAGTGGGAACACAGCTGCATTTGATGCTTAAGTTACCCTTTGGCCCTCCCCAAGCCCCACAGAACACAGTTACCTCAGCATTAGAGTCAATCACAGTTCAGTGAAGGGAGGAAGCTCAGATGTCCACTGGGAAAACAAGTTATTCCTGTGCCGGCTAAGAAGAGTATTTTGCTGCAGCCCAACTTGACCTTCCTTTTGGCAACTGAGCGAGCATGCACACACACACACACACACACACACACACACACACACACACTTCAGCCAACCTAGAACTGCAGCCAGACCTTTGAGGAGGCCAACAGCAAGTGTTTATTTTTCCTTCATTAAAGGTGCAACCATCCTGTTGTTAACGGAGTGACTTCGTATTAATTTTCAAATTGTTCTCAATGCTTTGTTTTAAATGTAAGACAACCTCATACAACGCATTTCTCCAACTCGTTTTATCTCCAAGTGCTTTACAAACTGACACTGGGGGGAAACAATCTCCCAAACCACCTCCTACACAGAGATCATCCCATCCCCAGTGCTATAATGTAGCCACATCTGTTCTGCAATGTAGCAGCCAATGGCACAGGATGACATGTAGAGATTAAAAGGTCGGGGGGAGCAGACACAAGGACAAACGCCAGGGATAGGACTGACCTGAAATCTGCAGCTGAGGGAAAAAGACATTTCTATTTTCTCCATGGCAAAAGCTGATGTCTGATTGACACAGGTCTGCAGGTGCCAATAAATCAGATGCAGATTCTTACCCAAAGATGTATTTTCCAGGCTTTTACTCCACATTTGAAATACATTGCTTCAGTGAAGAGCAGCTGATGCATGCACTCATCCAATTAGGGTGACAAGAGGCACTCAGTGGTAGGGGTAAAAGCAGAACTAAGGTGGTAACAAATGGGGCCTGCAGGTCAGCCATGTCTGAGCTGGACTCAGTTCTTCCCTCTCCTGGACAAAACCACAGCAGCTCAGTTTTCTTACAGCAAAGGAAGAAAATTCCTACTGTGGCAAGGATGGAACCTAATGGAGTGGGTAGTGACTGAGAAAGGGCTACATCAGCTACAACACTGTTAGTTCAGTTCTGTACAGACAAGTCTGAGCTACAGCTGGCCTCCACTTTCCAAAAGCTGTAGTGATATCCTTCCCAGCACGTTTTGAAGCACACAGCCACACCTCTCATCTGTGCAAAAATACCTCAAGTTTCCTCATTGGGTATGGCAGCCTGAGGGACACTGGGTTTTCCAAATGGACATGCATCTCTAAGTCTAGTGTTAGAGCAGAGAGGGAATCTCTCGGCCTCATGGCTGTGCCCAACATGAGCATATTCCTTCTGGACATAAAGAACTCAGCCTGGGACTACGGTTTCCATCTAAACAGTGTGAACAGTACCCAAATTCACCCTCAGAGTAGGAACAAAACAAAGGCATTTGTTTGTGGGTGAGGTTTGTATCTAGGAATACCACCAGGGACTTCCACACCAAGAACGTGCACATGGTAACATGCTAACAAGGTCTGCATCTGCCTATGACACAACACCAGATTCTCAAGGCTGGGAGAAAATATCCAGCACTGAGTGCAGCCAAGCTGTGACCAGCTGCAAATTATGCAATTTCCCTGCTTGCTTCCTTCTCCCAGAGGTCCCACGTGCACAGTTCTGGCCTCAGCCCCACTTGCTCCCCCCAGCTGGATTACAAGCACCCAGCACCAAATCCCAAGCTAAAAACAGAGACTTCCTGTGACTCAGCTGGAAGAAAGATTCTCTTGCAGGCTTCAGCACCCTCCACCCCAAAGAATGAGTGGGACAGACAGACTGCCAGCATCTGTCCTGAAAGACTTGCTTACTAAGAAGGGAGCCCAGGACTTCTGCTTTGCACAGGGCTGGCCTCAGACTAAGCTAAAGCAGACTGTATATAAAAACAAAGGTTTAAAAATAATGGATATACACTGCATATCTCCATAAAGGACAGTCTGTAGACAATCATCCCTGAGCAGCCAGGACCAGCCCAGCTCTCAGAGGGTAGCTTGGCAGCTGCATTCCAGTCACAGTGGGAGGAACGGGACAGCTGAAGGTACAACTTGTGCTTTTTGCTCCATGATCAGCATCAGGCATAGGGAGGGAGAGGAGGGAGCAAGGCCACTGCTGGAGAGGCACTGCATTCATCTGTTTGGCAGACCACTACTGATGAGTCCTTCATACAGGAGCAATTTCCTTCCAAGCTCAGGCTGCTCCTGATGATTACATCTCACTGGGATAAAACCCAAGTTTGGCCAGAGACATCTCCCTCCGGAGTCGCATCACTTCCCAGTACATCAGTTCCACTGCAAAGTGGAAAAAAAAAATACAGAGGAAAAATGAAAAAGCAGGGAAAAAAAAATAATCAGTAAGTGAGGCACAGTTAGATCCCACCTCATGTTACACTATGCTTTCAGTGCAGCCCGACAAAGCTCACCCCTAAATTGAGGGAAGCAGATATGCTGGAGGGCCCAGCAGATCACCTCTTTACTGGCTCTGCCTCAGGATACAGCTTCTAAGAAACTGCTGAGCAAGGAATGGGTGAAGCCATTTCTCTTGCTCTCATCTCTTCTTTGCCATTTAACTACTTTTCAAAGATCCAGCAAGTTCAGGGTATCCCAAGCTGGCCACACTCCTGTCATGCTGAGTACGGCCTCAGAATTTTTCCCACTGGCCCATCAAAGGCCCCACTGCACCCAGCTGCTACCCCCTCTTACCATCTTGCCTCACCAAGCCTTGCTGGATATAGCGAATGTACGTGAAGAAGTTGCACACAGCTGTGATCTGAAGGATAGAGGAAAGAAAAAAAGGAAAAAAAAAAAAGTGTCAGCTACAGAACTGGAGCACTCCTGGTGCTCAGCATCTGAGAAATGCTTCTACATATCACCAGATACAATGAGATAGGAAGAAAGCTGTTAACCTAAGTTCCAGGTATCTGCAGTACCATACCAGAATACTGCACTATCCACAACATACACAGCGTGAGACAGTAGTCACTACTGAATGTGGTAAAGCCCAACAGCCAGCATTTAAAGAGCAAAAAAATCACACTGTTTTATAAAGGACAATTAAAGATCAATGCAAACCAAGTTCCTGTAATTAATCAGACCATAGAAGCGAATACAAAGCAGACAGACGGCCTGAAAGAGCACAACCATGGCACAAGGGCCTGAGACAGGTCTGGAGATCCCCACTCTACCACTCTGAACGAGAGCCACCCTAATGATGAGAACAAACTCAAGCTCCATAGGTCTCTGTCAGTTTGAGCGCTGACCCAAGAGTCCTTCCATCTCAGAGCCTAGAACAGTCCTGGGAAAGGTGGGATACTCACCCTGGCCCTACAGGATGGTGAAATGTAATAGTAATTCCCAGAATCCCCCAGCATGATGCGGTGTTTGCAGGTCCTGGGGAGGCCACTTAGAGCACACTTCCTGCAGGCAGAGAGAAAGAAAGGAAAACAGATCAGGCTATAAAGCAACCACACGGCACAGCAGCGTAGATCCCCAGGAGATGAAAGGCAGAGCTCAGAAGTAAGACCTGTGTCAGTGAGCATTAAGAAAAACAAACCAAATGCAGTTGATAATCAACCTTTTAACCCTAGAAAGATTCCATAAATAGTGAATTTAGGAGACCATAAGCTAAAAATCTGGTACCATGAATTATCCCATGCTCAAGCAAACCAAGGCATTACCCTTGGCAGATCCACAGAAAGAGGTGAGGACAAAGCAGAGTATAACTCATGTCCTCTGGGCTCTGCACATCTTTGCCACGCAAGGTTTTTGCTGAAGGAGAATTGTGTCCAGGTGTTTTCCTGGTGGGATACACAGATGCCAGCTGTGGACCAGATCTGGTTTCAAAACAGATATTCCTGTGTTTAAGCATAATCATCCCCCCTGCTGGCAAGACACTGAACTTCATCCAAACTTGTCACCATTCTTCAATACCTTCCAACATGGCACACAAGATGTTCCTCGTGGTGTCCCTACTTGGACTTCACACACCACACCACTGGTAAATGCACAACTCTGCCACATCACAGGAAAACACACCCAAGGGAAGCTGCAAACCTGGCAAGAGTTACATTTAAAATGAAATGCAATCTCCTCTGAGCTACAAGTGGAAGCTCACAGGTATTCCATAGGGCTTAAAGCTTTTGTGTCATGCTTTCTCACCATCAACAAGCACAAACCCCACTGTCTCATTTGGAGAACTGAAAACATGCTGCAGTGCAGCTTGGCTCCTCTTCCTTATTTCAGACTTGAAAGCCATCTGGAATAACTTTATGCTGACTTCAGGAGGTTTTGGACATGGTTTCAGATCCCTAAGAACAAGCCAATCTCTTTCTGTGCAAGCATGGAAAAGTTCAGCCTCACTACTGTAGAGATTTCAAACAAAGCAATAAAAAAAAGTACTCTTTTCAAGACAGCATGGCTCCCAGAAAGATGTCGAAAAGATGTAATCAGCAAGGGTGCAGCTTATCTCTATTTTTTTGCCATTTCCTTCCATTATTGTGAAGATGAACAGTTCGCAGTACCAGCCAGTAGCCTGGCCTTCACCATCACTTAGCAGTAAAGCAGACTTTGTTGCTGCACTGCCATTACCACGGCTTCTCAGAGATCTAATGCCTGCATGGCTAGAAGAGGAACATCATTGCTCAGGTGCACGAGTTACTCTGGGAGCCGTGGAAGATGACAACACGCAAAGAAGCAGATGTTCCATAAAGCTTCTGAGAATGCTTTGGTGCTTGCTTTCCACTGCCATCAAGCTCAGCTGCTGCCTGCCTAGACTCCTGAAAGCACTGCACTGAACTCTGTTACCATAGGGTGAAAAGGGACCCAAACTTTCTTCTTTCTTCTCCACAGCACAACCAAAGGTGCCACAAACCTTGCATTTTCATCCAGGGAACAAATCAAATCCATTTATTACCAAGAGAAAGATTCCTTAACACCTGGTCTGGGTGGAAATTAAACAGAGTTAAAGAGTTTGGTTAGTTCAGCTCTAGCCTCAAAGATGCTAAATCATACTAAACTAGTAACCTGTTAACTGATTAGCCAGCTTTGATCACCTACTAATAAATACTTTACAATCTGTGACTGGAACACACTGTGAAGAGGGGAAAAAAAATCAAAAGGAAACCAGCAAGGACACACACAGGATGGGTTGGTCCTGGCAGAGCCCCGACACATGCTGGGGGAACAATTTGTCTAGTGATGAGAGAAAAAAATGCAGAAGAGCAGAGTAGGAAGCCTGCACATGAGCAACATTCATTACAGGAATACCATTGCCTGGAAGGTGCTCTGCTTGAAGGGAAGTGGGAAGAACTAAGGAACAGAGCCTCAACTGAAACTGAATTCAATAACTGAAAGTCCCCTGTGTACTCTGAAAGATGATGCCACTTCTGCCAGCATTCCTCTTCCCTGAAACAATCTAGGCTGTCTGTCACATCAAACACAGTCACAGCATCAAGCAAAGAAGATTATATTTATGCAGCAAGGAGCAAATTCTTCTGACCTAGGCTCAAACCCACCTGGAGCATCAGCAATGTTAGCAGTGCAAGGTGAGCTCAGGGGTCACAAGATAAAAGAATGTGAAATAATGTAGCTCTGACTTAACCCTTGCACCCTATGTTATGCACAAGCCTTCGGAGAACATTAAAGCAGTTTGTCTCTTAAGGAGGAAAAGAAAGCAAATAAAACTTCTGAACCGAGGGCACTAACACATTACTAAATTATCTCCCAACCACTCAACTGCAGTATACCCAAGAAGAATTACATCAGTCGGTGAAGAGTTCAGAAAGCAAAGCTCAACTACCACTAATCTTGGGCTAGAAATACACTCAGCTGAGCCCTGGTACCTGACTGAGACAACTTCATAAGGCAGTGATAGAAAACAGCAGCAAAAAGGGGGGACAAGAACAAGAAAGGTTCCTTACTTTGGCCCACCAGAGTCCTCTGCTGACACCTTCACCACAGGCAGCATCTGGGAAGCAACAGGCTCAATGGTGAGTGTATTCTGCTCCACAGCCACTCGCACCAGCTCAGACAGCTGCAGCAAAGAGAAATGACTGCAGATACAGATGTGCAAAGGTCACCTCCCTAAAGGTGCACCTTTGGTGTCGCCAGACTGTGCAGTTTCTGTCCTCAGTTGCCACCACTCACCTCCTGTTTAGTAAAGTCCAGACAAGGTCCTACATCTTCTCGGTAAATTCTGTCCAGAAAGGAGCAGGATTTATCCAAAGTTGGAGATTCCTTCCAGGACTGGAACTCAGCAAATAAAATGGAATCAATCTGCAGAAAATGCCCAGGAAAAGAAGGAAAACAGAAGGTAGGTAGAGGGAGAGATATCATGTCTGAAGATAACTGTTACTGCATAGGCAGTCTAACTATACAACATCTACTTTGGTACCTAGAAAGGTTCAGATATCACAGAAGTGTCTGAGGAAAGCTGGCTCTCTCCAAGGATCTTTTGTCTCCCACCCATTTTCAGTTCTGTGCCAGACCCATCCAGCCAAGGTGGGCATATTCTGCAGAAATCTGCAGAGATTCATCTCTCCCACCTTTGTCCAGGACAGGGCAGTGCCACTGCTGAAGGAAAGCCACCACACAACTGCTGAACAGAGCAAGTGCCCATGGCAGAAACAACAAGAGCAGCTGAATGGCAAAGCACAGTGGTAATGACACCCAGGACACCCAGAATGCTTTTCTTAACAAAGGATTGCTATAGAAAAGGATGAATTGGAGGGGGAAAAAAAAAGAAAAAAAAAAAAACTATTAATATCAGCAGGACTACATTCAGTGTGACCAAATAACAGAGTATGCCAGGCCTTTAAAGGCCATTCCAACCCAGAACTCTGGTGTCTGGGGAGTTGAGGAAGTAATGGGAATTCTGGGCAATCACATTGGCATGCAGGGACAAGTGGAACGTCAAACCCCGAGTGGGAATAGCTTTCCTGATCACAACGCTTGCTCACTGCCTTTTACAGATGGGCTTGCAAGAATTATCACTCCTCAACAACTCAGGGACTCAAGGACAGGGCTTGCCCCAACCCCTTAACTAGCAGGAAGGTTGATCCCTCCTACATTGCCTGACTGGTAATACTTCAGTGCTGGAGACTCTCTGGAACAGACATTTAAACCCCAGGCCGACAGGGCAGCTGTTTAAAAGGCCAGCAAATCCTGCTGAAGATGCTGAAAGGAGAAACAGAACTACAGAAACATGCCAAACAATACAAAAAGCATGAAGGAATGAAACAGAAGGAGGCCTGAAATCTAGCACACTTGCTGTATGCTATAGGGACTGCTCACCTCGCACCAGCAGACAGCTTCAGAGCCACAACATGAAAAAACAAATTCAGGAAAACAAACAAAACAGAAATGGAGGTTAGCATAAAAGGAAGCTAGAACTGAAGGGCTGAAAGTGTGAGAGTCAGATGGGTTCCACCCCTCTCCAATACCGTCCAGTAGTTACCTGCCGCAACGGTGAGGAAGCATCTGCCCCCAGTGCCTGCCAGCCTGGCTCATAGGTGAAGTGGATAGCCTTCCCAGGGATGATACAAAGGAGCAGAGAAAGGAAAGCAGGCACCCCAGACTTTGAGGCAAGAAAAAGAGACAGACAGTGAAGACGTTTAGAGTGACAGGCAAGAAAGGGAGGTAAAAAACCATAACAATACAGAAGATACAGGCAGAGGCTCAAGGCTTCTCTTCCAGCGAACTAAGAGTGATCCTCAAGGCATCACAGGGCCATAAACAACACCTTTCAACTTCAGTTTGAGGTGCTAAACGGAACACAAATGCTGCAACTTCTAGACACAATTTAGAATAGGACATGTTTTCCACAAAGCATCAAGCTGAATGCCAGGTTCCCTCACACCACCTCTCGTGTGGGCCAGTAAACAACTTGACAGGAATGGTAACCATTAGGAGAGCACAGAGAGCATTCGAAGATTAAAGTCATTTTTTTCCTAGCACTCAAATTAGCTTCTAGCCAACTAAGTATTTGACTACAACTTCCAGCATATCTGGTTCGCTCTCTGATTAATCAAGAGAAACAAGTACAGCAGGGATTTGCAGTTACTGAATTAATTTTTCCTTTGGTTTTCTTTTGGTCATAGCCTTTGCTCCTCTTGCCTGTGAAGAGAGTTAAAGATGTTATTGCTACAGCCCTCAAGACAATAGCTACAGCCAATACTCATCCAAAGTAGCAACAACAGCACTACACAGAAGTTAGCAAAATAAATCCATTGAAATCACCAATGGTGTTGCCAGCACAGTCCTTCTGTTAGGTGAATGTATTAATTTCACCAGCTGCCCTTCTGCATACACATTCTCTCACAAGCCAAGTGACCAGGTCTCTCCACGTGCTCTCAACAATTCTTTATGACAGAAGCCACAGCTCCAAAAAAAGTCATCAGGGAAACATACTCCTACACCACATTCACCACATTTTCATTCTCCCTGATCAAGTGCCACAGCCTGTCTCCTTTCTGCTCTTCAGGGTAGCTGTGCACACATCTGGCCATTGGAAAGTTCCCAGCCAGAAGCTGCTAGCAGAAAAAAAATAAAAAATAATAAAAAAAAAGAATTACATTCATGGTCACAGCAAGTGTAGGTCTATTGAATGAGGGAATTAAATAGGGTTTGGTTGAAAGACGTTCACAAATTCTTTGTAGCCTTATCTGAACATTTCCTCCCAGTGAGAAAGGTGAGCGCTCTGCAGGAGGAGGAAGAATAGTGGCATGCCCAAGACCAGAGAACAAGAGATGTTGATAGAAGATGGTGGAGGAGACTTGGAGCCCAAACCCAGGCTCTGATCATTGAAAGTCAAACCAGTTGGAAAAAAGAACAAAAGCAAAAACGTCAGAACAGGTAGCAGACTGAACTGCCAAGATGCATCAGAACTGGCTTCCACTCAGCAACTCCCAGCACATCCATTCTCAGCACTGCTAACTCCTGGGTCTGTCCATGCCCTCCAGCGGTCCCTCAGCTCCTTCCTCTAGCATTGTCCTAATGCAGCTTTGAACTTTATTCCCAGAAGTGAAAATCTACACAAATAGAAACCCTCCAGAGTTTGCCTCAGCACAGTTTAGGAACAAGCCAGACTACTGCACAGATTGCTTCCTTCAGTCAGAAGCCAAGCAAAACTTCTCAAGTACAGCAACAGCAGTGTCTCCAAGGCTGGTGCATGAACGGCCCTCACCCACCTCTTTGCACTCACGACTGACTGGTGCTGGAGTTGCATTCTGGCTGACAGCTGTGACAATTGCACTGCTGGTGCTCTTGTTTCGCCCGTGGCCTTTCCTGAAAACGGCTTTAGAAGGGCTCTGGAGCTGAGGGTGTAGCTCCCAGTTTGGAGAGGAAGGTGTGGATGTGATCACAAGCGTCTTCAGAGCTGTTACCTCTGCCTGCAGCATGTCGATCTGAGAGAGACAAAGCAAGAGTCAACAGCACCTTCAGCATCTGCTGAACTTGCTGTACTGCACCCAACACTGTAAGGCCACAGGGAAACAGCTACAAGCCTGCTCATGAAGCCTTCTCCTCGTTCTCTCAAATGCCCACTGTCAGCCGAAATTTTAAAGAGGAAAACAAGAACTAACTGGGAATCTATCCTGCTGCTCCTCAGTCTATCTTGCCCCAGGCTCTTTTTAGACACATCAACCCAGAAGTAATTTCACTTTCCAAGATGGAACCAATACAGCAGCCCTGTGATGCACCCTCATCAGCTCTTTCCACACAGCCACAACAATTAAACAGCACACTGCTTCCACGTGGTTCTTCTCACACCCTTTTTTCTAAGAGGAGGAGGTGATCAGCAGAATCTGCTGGAGAGGGAGCAGGCACTTCACCCTCCTCTAGCCAACCAACCTGCCATGGCTACAATGGGCCAGGACTGCACCAACCCTGCAAAGAGATCAAGTCACAGAGAGCGCAGTTCTCACCTTTCCCCATGCCTCCTTCAGCTGCTTCTCTGACGCCGCTTGTTTTGTGTTTGCTTCTCTCACCATCTTGTGTGCCTCCTGGACCAGAAAGAGTTTTAGTCTGCCTGTGGCAGCCCCATCTCATACAGTCACTTGGGGCCGGCCAAAGCTCTGCCATGTCTCATGCTCTGTGCAAGCAAGCAGGAGGATAGACATCACTGCCACATCCAATTATTTTACTCTAACAGATATGAAGAGCTTTGCCCCCGAGAATTTCCCAGAAAAGGCCTCTCAGTGTCAGCCTGGAGTGCATCCCCTTCCCAGGAGCACAGCTGGATAAATGTAAGTTTATCTGCTGAGTCCAAGGTTATCTTCTCCAATCAAAAGAGGTGCTGCAAAAAAAAGGCAGAAGAAAGGGCCTGCCCCTCTTGCCCTTGGGATATATGCTTTACAGCCAAGGTTTTAATGTTGGCACCCACCCATGCTAGATCATAATTGTGTAGTCCAATACTTCTGCGACTGATTCAAATGGCTTAGCTTCCTGGCATGACTTCAGATGCGTGTCACCACTGCAGACTTGCTAGTTCATTACTGGACTGTTTCTGACCCTGATCACTGTCTCTGGCACAGATTCTCATCCAGACTCACTGATCCACATTCTGGTTCCTCATTCAGTCACTGCCCTGCTGCACTTGCCTGAATTGTTACTGCACTCTGTTCCTACCACCTCCATGGAGCAGCCAGCCCTCACTGCTCTGAGCACAGCTGCAGCACAGCAGCAGGAGCAGTAGCTCAGGTGGGGACTAAACTTAGAAGCACATCTCACAGGAAGGGGGAGGTAGGTGGTATCACTCCCAGTGAGACCACCCCACAGCACTGCCTCGAAGCACTCTGCCCAAGGCCACCAGTGAAGGAGAAAGCCCTCAGCTGAACTTCTCTGAGTTCACCTTACATTCAGGAACAGCCTGTGTTTCACAGGTACAGCTGAGTTCTGGCTTTCCTCACTGTCCAGTCAGTTCTACAGATTAAAGCTGTTGGTAAATGGGATCACGGGATCTCATCAGGCTAGAGCTTGACAAGAATCAAATTAACAACCGAAAAATTAAACCAAAACAAACAAACAAAAAACCACAGCAAACGCTGTTCAGACTACAGAGCAGGCACAGGAGAAGGCCAGGGAGCCATGCTCACCTCCAGCTCCGGGCATCCCCATGTCTGGTTTCACTTAGCTTTGCAACCACGGAACCTGCTGTGCTCTTTATGTCACCCCACAGCTGCTAGGAGGGGAAAGGAGCGTATGCAAATCCTCCCCAGAAGCAAGCACCAGCCCATGGGAGGGTCTGCTTGCAGCACTGTGCAGCATTCCAAATGTGCACGAACAACAGGGACTAAGGAAGCTGTGGGAGGTAACACAAACATGGCTGGAAGTTCAGAGAAAGCCTACCTCAAAGGAATTGGAAGCAAGCTTAGCTTAAGAAATGATGGGAAAAGGAAGAGGGTGGTACCTCAAACAGGCTAGCTGTTAACTCTTCTAGTTCCTGCTCCAGTTGCTCTCTGACTTTTGACAGTCTCTCACATTCTTTGTCCTTCAGCTTCAGCTCCTGTTGAGGAAATTGTAGAGGGATGCATGAGCTACCAGCAGGCCCCAGCAGTGCTGACACCCACCTGGCCTTACTTACTAATCACTCCCTTTCCTCCCTACCCCTGCATGAATCCCAGACTCTTGACACAGCACTCCATGCCACCAGAAGCATCCCTCCACAAGCTGTAGCAGGCTTTTCACACTGGAATTGCTTGCTTATCATTAGGCTCCATATCATAGAATCATCAAGGCTGCAAAGACCGCTAAGATCAATTAGCCTAACAACCAACCTATGCTTGTGACTGCTATAGACTATGCCCCTCAGTGCCTCCAAGCTCAGCCCTTCTCACAGGCTCTGGGCTTTACCTTTTGTGCTTTGTGCAGCTCTTCCTTCAGAAACTCAGAGCCCTTTTCCCGGATCTCCACTGAAGAGCTGCGGAGACGCGAGACGTTGCGCTGCTCAGTGGACTGGCTGTCATCCCCGCTGCCTGCATTCTGGCATCCAGTCTCTGGCTCCTTCTTGCTGCCTTTGGACGGCATTAGTGGTTTCCAGTATCCCACAGCTGGTTGCTCCTGGCTGTCTTCCTCAAAACGGGTCTGGCTGTAGGGAATCGGCACAGTGAAAAGTTATGTGGGAGTGATCAGCAAACCTGCCAGGCTGAGAAACAGCCTCAGAGGCAACAGCAAGGCAAGCCAGGCTGGGTTCTCCCAACGTTTCAGGGAGGCTGAGCAGTATTGCACTGAACAGGACATTCAGTAGTGTGCTGTGCTGTACCTCCAGGCTCCCAAGAGCACAGGAGCAAAGCAGGGAGGGTGATGGCATACAAAGAAACTGGCTTAGAGGACCTGCTTTGTGTCCCGGAGCAGCACCAGCTCCTCTGCCCACAGCCTGGGCCTGTCTGCCCTCAGCAGAATTTCTAGGGAGGTAAGTCCTACACAAACCATCTTCTCACAACCAGTCCTTCAAATAAAGACTGAAAGAGCTGAGAAATTTAACTGGAATAAGCTGCTTGTGCACAAACATTTTTATGAGCATGGTTAAACAAGCCGTTCGCCAGATACCTCGTACTGCCCTCTCTTAAATACAAGCCAAGCTCAGGAAGGATATCTGTCAAATTTATTTGCTCTGGGTGTGAGCATGCATACATCAGAACAAATGAAGATGGTGAACATCCATTTGTGAGTTTCAGCTCTGAAGTCCCTCACAGCTCAGGCAGACCCTAAGCAAACAATGAAGGCAGAGCAGACATACAAAATTCAGAACTTGGTCTTTTCTCTTCTCTTTCTTCTTAAAAGAGCCCAGATATGCATGCAGATATATTCCCTACTGGATTACTTTGCGCTTTTGACATGAAATCCTTTCAGAACAGCAACAGAGAGGAGACAGTGGTCCAAAGTAATGAACTGGGAGGAAATCTTTGCTATGCTGGGATCTTCAATAATCACACCAAGTACAGACTGCACTCCTGGTAAGAAGGGCTGGTTTCTCAACAGCTAAGTACTGCCTCACAGTTAGACAATTCTTTACACACAAAGCATTAATAGGCAAAGCAAAGTTATAACACCTCCTGGTTTTACCCTTCCAAAAAGCATGTCTCAGACATTTGACTCAGGACAAAGCAGGACAACTAAACACAGCTACTCCAAGAGTGCCGTTCTTGAGCATTTTCAGAGAAAAACAGACTATAGCTGGCTTACTTAGTATTCCAGCAAACACTCCATAGGCCTAAGTTCAGGGACACTGCTCCCCAAACCACAGGAGGAACAAGGAAAAAAACAGTACAGCTTCCACATTCCACAGCAATACAAAGACCCTGACCCTCTTCACTGCAGATCCAGACTTCAACCCTGCAGGCCAAGTAGAGGCCGTGTAGGTTTTGCAGCTGCTGGGGTGTTACAAGGGGAAAACATATGCCTGAATGCCCGTCCACGTGGCAGAACGTGTGGTCTGCCTGCTGTCTTCTCCTGCAAAGAAGCACAGGTACCACAGAGAGTGGTGTGAAAGCACAGAGAGGGAAATCTCTTTGACCTCTTGGATGAGTAAGGGCACAGGACCATCCACGATGCCATGCCACGCAAACTGGACAGAACTGGCAACATGCAGTCCGCGTCACAGATTTTGCTGACCTTTTTGTAGAGCAAGAACAAGCGAGAGAGCATCAGCAGTGCTGGAAGGTAGGAAAGGATTCAGAAGAACTGTTGACTTGACCTGGTTTTACTGGGAAGATCTATAAGGAGCTCGTTCTGGTGATAAATGACATTTGGAAGTATAAGAAATAACAGAAAGGAGCACCTTGGGGAGGGAAAGGGACAGACAGCACTGCTACGCAAAGATAATTCATCTGAAGCTACTCAGCACACTGGAGCTGCTGATAAAAGCACCATGTATGCATGTGGATGCATAGATCTGAGTGAGCTGCTCATGAGCAACGGGAACTCCCATGCCTCTACTCTTTTAGCTGCAAGAGAGAGCATGCATGGCGCACACCGTGAGGAGTTCAGGCAGCACAGCACTCGCTGCAGTCAGGCTGCTCTTTGGACACGTGTGGGCAATCAGAGAAAGGTCAAGATAATCTATCGCATCACTTACCTAAAGAGCGACATTGGTACGGAACGAGGAGCTCTCCAAGGCTTCACTCAGGAAGGGGAGGTATCGAGCAAAGCAACGACCCAATGGAAAGGAATGAAGCCCATCACGGGAAGGTGGAGACTTGATGAAACCAATTCATCCTCGCCACACGAAATCAGGGGAGGTTCTCTGCAATGGATCTGCCACGAAGCAGGGAGAGCATTCCAAACAGAAGCGTTCGTTCAATAGTTAAGCCGTATCTCGAACGGCACCGTGGGAGCCCCTCCTGCGGAGATCAGAGGGGCAAACTGCAGCGAGCGCATCGTTCGGGGACTCCTGCATTACCCGGGAAGCTCACTAGGAGGGCCCCAGCAGGACCACCCGCTGTACGGCCGGAAGGGGACAAGAAACAGAGCAGGAGGAGAAAACCCAAATCAGAACCAAACAGCTGCAAAAGACAGCGAGGGAAAGGGACACCGCAACCCGCTTAGCTGCTAAGAGTCCAGCTACTCACATGGAATAGGAGAGGAAAAAAGAGATATGAACCGTTGCCTCGTGACTCAAGCTCTCGGAGGAACGTTATCTGTGCAGGAGAGAGGTGTGCTGCTGTGCTGCTGCCACCGGGAAGAAGACAGGAAGGCCGGAAGGCACGGCGGTCCCGCAGGCAGACCGGTGCCGGCCGCTGCCGCCGCTGTCCCGCCGCGCCCCGACAGCAGACAGCAGACAGCACCCGAGGGAGCGGCGCACCTGCGCCCGAATCCCATGGGCTGCGCTCCTCGGAAGCCGGGCCGTATCCTACCGGTCCCCCGGACGCACGAAAACGGCAAACGTGAGGAAAACTAGAGGAGAACCGAAAAAGCCCAGCGCAGCAAGAAAAAAAAAAAAAAAAAAAAGCCGAGCACAGCACAAACCTTCCCGAGTTGGATTCCGCAGAAAAAGCCAAACAAAAAAAAAAGTGCAAGGTCGGCAGTTTTCCAGCTTCCTGCCGAGCCGACCCCGCGGTTTCCTGAGGATCTGTGCTGCCTGCGGGCTGCCGCCCGTCCCGCGCCGGGAGCGCCGGCTGACAGCGCTGCGTGGAGCCCGGCAGCCCGCACGGACGCGGCGCACCTCCGCCCGGGCGGCCCCGCAACGACACCCGCCCGAGCCCCGCCGCCCGCACACCTACCTCCGCCTCAAGCTGCTTGCCGCCGGCGCCTCACGGCGGCGGAGGGGACGGAGGAGGAGCGCCCGCCGCCGCCGCCATTCCCGCAGCCCGCCCGGCTCCGCGGGGCCGCCCCGAGGGGAGGGGGCAGCGCGAGGCGCCACGTGACTGCAGCGCGGTCCCGCGGGAGGGCGGGCGCGCGTGCGCGCTGCCGGCCGTGCGCCGTGCTCGTGGGGGGGGCGGTGGGATGAGCGCGGGCTCGGGTTGAGGCTGCTCTGTCTCTGAGCCCCGCATCTGCCCTGACCTTGAACATCTCCAGGGATGGTGACTGCACCGCTCCCTGGGCAGCCTGCGCCGCTGCATCGCTTCTCTTTCTCTCAATAAATGTTCCCCAATATCCAGCCTAGACTCCCCCGGCGCAGCTTGAGGCCATTCCATTATACGATGTTATTACAGCCCTGTCCCACCTGGTCACTAGGATCCAAGGTGACTACAGAAGGCAGCCTGTGCTCTGAGGTCCCAGAGCAAAGGGTCTGAGAAGGCAGATCTGTGGCTGTAACATTTGTTATCTGCAGGGAACCTTTTGTGAGGAAGGGGAGATCTGCAGCTCTGCAGGCAGCACACAACTACTCAGTGGTAATGATTAACTTCCAAGGCCTGGCTGGCAGAGATGGAGGGTCCTAGGGTTAGAAAGGCAGAATTGCTTCCAGAGTCCAAAAGGCAGCAAAAGGCTCCAGCCAGTCTGTCTGATGGAGGGCTTCTAGAGTGGGAGGCAGTCACAAGAGCCAAACCTCGCAGTCACACTCACTGGTGGGCCAGCAAGCTACAGCACTGCTTCCAGGAATGATGAGCCTTGCAGCTGTTAAGATTACGAACCAAGGAATCCCGGGCTGGGAGGATGCTGAAACTGCCGAGCTCTGCAAACCCATGGGGGAATTCACCAGCAAACATTAAGCTGGACCAGGCAGCGAATATAAGAGTGGGGGAAAGAAAAAAAAAGAAAAAAGAAAAAAAAAAAAGACATTCTGTGAAGGTCAAGAGGAATAGGTGTTATCTTAGATGCTGAAAAGCAGGAGTAGAACCCTGACCCAGCAAACTCAGAGCGGATGTTATTGCCATGAAAATGAGAACAAAAACAAGAGTGTAACACTCCAGGATCCATCCACCCACTCACTCCCTCCCTCCAGTCGACCTCAGCCAGCCATGCAGCATGTTTTCTCAACTGGCGAGGAAGGCTCCAGCAAGGCTCCTCTGGGATCTCTGGGGCTAAGATCTCCAATTTCATGGATGAGATCTGCCTTCAGCACCAAACAAACTGCTGCCCATTTCCCAGGGTAACCGGGTGAAAGAGGAGAGTGAAAAAGCAGAGACAGAAGAGCAGCGGGGCTTGCTTATGGGGCTAGCAGTGCTGTGTTGCTCAGGCAGATGCAGCCTGGCACAGTCCTGCTGTGGCACTGGAAGCGCTGCTGACCCCTGTCAGATCTCGGCTGCTGCTCTCCTGCTGACAGCTGCATTTTTTTGGAAGAGCTCAGCCTGAACCCAGAGAAAGAGACATGGGGACAAGAGAAAGAAGAGCAGCTGGGAAACCTGGAATGAAAGGAGGACTGTCCAAACAGCACGTGGTCCACAAAGAAAGAAATTAACACACACTGAGCACCCTTAGCGTGCTCTGAGTTCCATGGGTCCCTATGAGTCCTTATGAGTCCTGCAGTGTAAAGGGAAGAGGCCTGAGGGCATTCACAAAAGCACTGATGGTCACTGCATCCTCTCCAAAGGCTCACGGCAAGCTTAAACATCCGTCAGTCTTGTCTGTGAAAACAGTACTTCCTCAGATAGTTTCATTTTTATTATTATTTTTCTTTTTTCTACATCAGATTCCAAGGAAGAGTGTTAGTTTGAAAGAAAACCCCATCAGCATCTATCTTGGCACTGAAAGCAAACAGCAGGAGAGGGGTTTCACTGAGCTTTGGCCCTCTTGGTTTCCTGAGAAAAGCACTTGTTCTCTGGCAGACTGCAGGGAGGGCTCTGTCCCTTTACCAGAGGCAGCTGCAGCAAATGAATTTCAGTCATTGCGGGGGGAGGGATTCATTTCCCGTTGCAGTAACCCAATCTGCACATCTGCAAAATGGAGAAAATGGGAAGGATTCCAGGGCCTGCAAGGGCACTGGGAATGCAGCGAGACTGAGAATGGACATCAGTGCATCCTTGCTGCTCCTCTGCTGCTTTCAGACTGGCAATTTTGCTTGAGGCCTGGAAGTGAGGCCACAGGGAATGCAAAAAATGATGCAAGTATTGCTGCCACACTGGTAGTCCCTCTGTTATTTACTTTCATACTACATGCCACAAATATTTGATGTTGTCCTAACGGTAACTGAGCTGGATGTACTGCTCTCAGAGGAGGGCAGCGGAGTCCCTTGGATACCAGCATATCCCTCCATCAAGAGCTGCATGCTGGAGATTTTACTATTCCACGTTAGAGTCCCCAGGGCTACAGAAAATCCCCACAGCTCCAGTAAATCTCTCGAGAGAATCCCCTTGCTCTCTAGAACTGTCTCTGTCTGCCTCTCTATTAATCCCTTCTCTCTAGATGTCTCTGCAAAGTAGTATCTCAAAGACGTATGTCCTCCCCAGACCCTGGTCCCTCGTGTGGACAGCACTGCCTCCAGAGAGAGCCCACCTCTGTACTCTCCCAGATCTTCCCCCATACACAGAACTCTTTGGGTGTTTGGAGGCATTTTCATCATCCAGAATCATTCAGGGACACTGTTGGGACCACAGTCCTATGATTCTTGCCTTCTCTCCCTAGAAGACCTTTGGAAGCAGCTGCAACCCAGCAGCAATATTTCAGGGACCTTGCAGCAAGCTCAGCCCTACAACAAAGCAGCTAAGACAGCAGCACAGTGCAACTTTCTGGAATGACATTGGCCCTGAGCCTCTGCAAAACCAAGGTACCTCACCTCCTGTCTCAGATAGATGCTGCTCACACTGGGGTAACACCACACCACGGTCACGCTACCTCCTTGCTGGCCAAGGATAAGGCTTCAGAAGGGCAGGATAGCTGGGCCTTTTAGGTCCTGGTGAACGCTGCTCATGACACTCACAGATAGGCTAGGTGCAAAGCTATATACTGCATCAGTCAGTCAGTTGGGTTTGCCATGGTTAGGCCAGTGATACCTTACTTACCAGCATCTGGCCACTGATAAGAGCTCTATCTATTTTGCTCCACACCATGAATTTCTCCCCATGGTCCTCCCCATGCCTGTGCTTCTCCTGCCAGGCCTGTATCTCACACAGCAGAAGCATCATGCTGCCTCTTCTCTTCTGCCCAGCCTTCCTTTCTGCCCCCAAAAAGTCATCCCTGGTTCCAGGGCTAAGGAGCTGCAATGCACCCATGGACACAGGGTGTTCATGCAGGAAGAGCCCTGGTTAGACTGAGTGCTCCGGCTCCATCCCCACACCCTGCATATTCTCCTCGTGTGTAGGGTGGCAGCCCTCCCAAACACACGGCGGGTTGTGGCACCTTACCTCCACTAGATGTGAGCCCATGTCCTTCTGCATATTATGTGATCCAATACAGGACAGCTTCTGCTCAGAGAGCAGAAGAAATCAGATGATCTCCATAGTTTTGGTGCCAGGCAGGAGTAAAAATTGTTTTCACTATTGCTGAAAAGCAATCAGGGCTAGATGTAACTGAACACACCACAGCCTACACAGGAGCTAAAGCCTCAGATACTTGCACTGAGTCCCACGCTTTCAACTATCATCTACCCACTGTTGACAGCAATTTCCAGAGCTGCACTAGAAAGTCCATATTAGACAGCTGGCAGGCTGCAACTGTTTCACAGAAGCAGCAAAACAGCCCCCTGCTCTTGGGTAGGCTCAGCCTCCCATAATGGAGAAACCCGCCATTGGGCAAATGAATCCCTGCTGCTGATACAGCTCAGGGCAGCTCCTTATCTCCAGAACACTGAATACTACAGCAGGTCAGCAAAAGCTGACAGGAAATATGGATGTGCAGTGTGTAGATGCTATACCTAGGGTAACAAATTCCAAAAGCAACGAGCAGAAAGAAGGTGGAAGCACAGGCTCCAGGCAGCTCAAGTAACCAGCTTAGCTAGGTTCTCTGGGAAACTGCTTCTGAAGGTATTGGGGTCCATCAGGGCCGGTCCCCCATGGCACTTAAGTGCCATCTCTTAAAAGCACAGGAACAATCAATATGAAAACATGATGCAGGTGGAGCAGAAGTTTGGCTTAGCTGAGCAGGGATCTTTGTCTAGAGCTGGCTGCTGTCACGAGACCTCTCAATTATTTTTCTGTGGTCTTGGGAATCTGTAGAGGTCCCAGCTGAAAAACAAAGCTTTCAGTACTTCTGGATAAAATGCTCAGCATACAACTAGACAAAAATATAATACGGTGGTTGAACAATTGGCTGATGGCTCAGGATCAGAGGGTCACAAAAAACAGAGTTGCACCAGGTTAGTGTCAGTATCTAGTGCGGCTCCCCAGGGCTTCATGTTGGGGCCATTTCTCTTTAATGTTCTTATAAATGCTCTAGATACGAGACTCAAATGTATACTAAATAAGTTTGCATGTTATATTAAATTAGGATATTAAATTAGATTGGCGATAGAGAGGCATGGTAGAGAGATCTTGGCAAACTGGATGGCTGGGCAATCGTCTGCTGCATGAAGCATTAAGCAAGTGCCAGATTCTGTCCCTGCAGTGGATCAGTCCCTCAGCAGAGGCAGAGAGAAGGGCAGTGAATTACAGAGAAACCTCTGCTGAGAGCATGGGCCAGGTGTTTCACAAACCCAACGATCCAGGAGCACCTGGGGAAGAGGGGGCTGCACGAGCCCCATATAGGGACACATGTTATAGCACTTGCACAAAATTCCAGCTCTGTTTAATCTCCTGGGGCTCCCGGAAGATTGTGACACAGAGAAAAGCACCAAACAGGAAAGAATTAGCGGAAAATGCTTCTCCTCTGGCAGCCACCATGGCTGTGCCAGGAGTTAGCAGCAGCAGTGTGGAGCAGCCAGCCCTGCCTCCCCCTCCTTCTGCCTCCTCTATAAACACGCAGGGCTTACTCAGAAGATTAGAAAGGAACAGGGCAAAAGACAACAGAGTCTCTTTTGTAATGAGAAAGGATTATGGCATCAAGTGACCGGCTGCAGCTCCCAAGTGGGTTTCAGGCTCCTTAGTACACCACGTCTGTCAGGTTCAATCCCCCCATGAGCCAAGGGGGCAAGGAAAGGCAGGCTGTGGCGCTTGCCACAAAGGACCCAGCGAGGACACATGCAGGATCAAACCTCCACCGTCTCCAGTGTAGCTCAGGAGCCCGCGACTGTGAGTATCTAGTCCTCACAAGAGCAGAGATTAGCTGATCAGTCTGTCTATCTTACTGTGCATCTGAGCTCATCACTCCTCTTGCTTTCTCTGTCCACTGTATCTCTTTGTTCTCTGCACTTGCAATAGGCGCTCGTGTCTGCTTGCAGCATTACGCGGCGGGTAACACAACTTGCACAGGCAAACCTGGCTTGCTGCTGCAAGATCCTCATTGCTGGGGACTCCCGCAGCCTGGTCAGTGTCAGCCGATCCCAGGTGCGGCAGTGAGCTCAGAGGGACCTGCCAAGCTGATGCCAGCAGAGACGGGGAGCAGAGGTGCAGGGCTGGCTGTGCCACGTTCCCTGTCATCCTACAGGGAGTTGGGCTGTTTGGGCTCTGTGCAGGGACAGCTCTTCTGCCCCCCAGGCACCATCGTGCCGGTGCTGTAGTGAGCTGCCTCACACCACCAACCTCAACCCCGTGCAGCAGTGCGAGCGTGCCAGCTGCCAAGTGACAACCAGGGCCAAGCGCACAGGCTGGCAGGCAGGGAGCTGCCTTAAGAGAGCAGGGCTGCAGGCAGAAGCACCGGGAAAAGCCCCACGTCCTGTGCCTGAACAGAACTGCACTGAGGTGGGCGACATCCATTACTTACATAGACAAGAGCTGAAGTTTTCCATGTTTGGTAAAAAGTGAATCTGCATTTGAATTACGCAATGAAGAATCTCCCCGAGCACTTTCAAGACCCGAAGCCTAAAGCAAACACTCTGCTTTCTGTAAGCGGCCCCCAGCGCCTTTGCATGTGTTTCCGTACATTTCTCATCTGTACAACTCATGTGTGTGATGTCTTTGGGGCAGTTACAAGACACTTCTCAATCCTGTGCACTGACCAGAAATACACATGGGAAAGGTGTGAAGGTGTATGAGCATGCAGTGAAAGGGGCGGTTGTGCAGCCGGGGAGCTCTTGGCAGGGCAGGTGCCAGCTGTGCCCCTCGGATAGAATCTTTGGGGGACTCAGGGAGAGTTACAACAGGGAAACCCAAAGGAGGAGCAGAACCAAGAAGCCAAAGTCAGGACAAAGATGTTATTTGTTGAAGCAGCCAGCAGACGTTGCAGTTTATCTTCATGGCTCCATCTGGCTTGGACATGAATTTTCCCCACCTAACTATAGTCTTTCACTGGGATGTTTAAATGAGGAGGATGGGCACAAATTCACCTGCCCGCAGCTGCTGCTACAGACCAGTGAGGGCTGAATCAGCCCTGGAAGTACCTCCCGGTACCTCCATAACTCAAGAAAGAGGCCAAGGTCCCTCTACTATTAACCTCAGTGCCAAAGCAATGTCTAACAACTCTGCAATGTGTTTTGATTCGATTTAGAAATTCCGTCAGTTTTTTCATTGAATAATTATTCATGAATGGCACGGATTACAGTGGCTTTTACTTTTATATAAAACTTCAGGTTTATCTGAATGTCAGTCCAACAATTAGCTGATGATAAATAATTGTTTACTCAGGGTTAGAAAACAATAAGTGCAGCAAGGATGCTGCATGATTGGATAACATTCCTTTTTTCTTTCAGCACAATTTATCTCACAATGAAGATTGGGGAGGTGGAGTTACTGGAAATTGTGCTCTGTGAGCCAGCCAAAACCCATCCCTCAGCTCTCTGACAGGGAAGGCTGTTTTGCTTGCAGTGCCAGAGCTGACATAGTCTGGTTATGCACATCAGCCCAAATTTAAAGACAGCTGTACTTGTCGTAAAAACAGGGTAAGGAACTTTGGAATTTGTGAAACTGGTCATTAATCTCAAACATGTTTTTTCGGAAGACAGTGGCACGTGGGCTCTGTCCATTCCCATCAAGCAGCTCCATTTGAACACTGACAATCCAGCGCTGGAAACATGGGGCTTCGCCAGAAAGTGAAGTGTCATTGCAACCAGCTCACATGCAGTTAAAACACAGGAAGAAGCTGGTAAACACATCGCAGTAATTGCCCACCATAAGCTTCCTCTTGGTTTTCTACCTTAAAGACTTCAACAGATTTGTCTTTTGATTTCAGCTCTTTCTCTCATTCTTTCTTCCTTCCTTTCCACCTTGCTGGGACACCTGAGGTTTCTGTTCTGTCCAGGCCTCCCTCTGTGCAGGTTTGCTTGGCAGCTTCAACAACTGCTCCTTTTGTGTCCCTACCAGGATCTGCGATGACAGTGACATACACTAACCGCGTGGCCGATGCCCGCCTAGGCACCTTCTCGCAGCTCCTGCTCCAATGGAAAGGCAGCATCTACAAACTCCTTTACTCTGAGTTCCTTATTTTCATCTCCCTCTACTTCGCCATCAGCCTTGTCTATAGGTGAGCATCCTTACACCAGCACCGCCACAGCTCCTTGCTCTCAGCTGGTCCCAAAGCAGGACATCTGAACAAACCAGGGTTGGGACAGCAGTCCTGAGAAAAAGCAGCTAGCCAGACACTAACTAGCCTCTGTTCAGAGGAGGAAGGGTTTTTCCTCACTGCTGCAGTGGCTGAGCAGCTGACAGATTTCCTTCTTTGGGCCTGGAGAGGAACACGGATCCTCTTCCTGGAGATGAAAAGCTGCATGTGATAACTACCTGAGAAGAATGGCATGTAGAGACCAAGGCTGAACTGGTGCTGGAGGTGTTCCACAGTGGGAACCGTTTCTGAGAGCAGACATCAGCTCTGGGACTGCAGACCTGTCAGAAGGCAGCTATGTGCTGGGGTGGGTCTGATTTGGGTGGGGAAAGGCAGGAGCTCCCCTGGTTGGGTAAATGCAGCATGGAAGCAGGAAGGCAGCTCTAGGAAAGAGGAGCTCATGTTGGGCACTGTTGACGTGAGCAGAGTTTGGACTGACATTTTTCAGGATGTTAAATAAAATGTGCACATCCAAGCACTATGGCAAACACCTGATTCCAGATGGCACTTTCCCCTAGGTGAAAAACATAGAGCTCCCTAATCAGACTGTAGCAATTACCACCCAGTGACCACTTCAAGCTCCTTTGGACATGTCGGCAGGGTATTTTGAGTGCTCCCCACATCACCCCACACCCACAGCATGGTTGTATCGTGGCTACGTGTCCTTGCTTTCCCTTGCCAGACTCTTACCCAGCAGGCCCAACAAGGCACAGTCTCCTCTTTAAGGCTGATGTCTCTGTTCCTCCCTTTCAGGCTGATCCTCAGCGAAAGCCAAAGGCTGATGTTTGAGAAGCTGGCACTCTACTGCAACAGCTATGCTGAGCTAATCCCTGTGTCCTTTGTGCTGGGTAAGGACTGTGAATGCACAGGGAGGGGAAGCGGGCAGCATTTCTTCTCTCACCCTGGGTCAACACAGCTCTTCAAGCAGGCAGTTCCCTCATTCTGCCTTTGTGATAAATACATCAGTTAATGCTGCAGCTGTGAGGTATGCACACAGCTTTCACTGCCCAGATGCACTGGTGTGATCTTGGTTCTACCAGGAGGGCAAGGACCAAATATCTCTAAACAAGCGGTGAAAGCCAGACTCCAGCTTTAGCATGATACAAATTAGGTCTGCCTTCACTCATCCCTATAAGAGCAGTGCCAGCCTTCCCATACAAGAGCACACATCTCCCCTCCTTCAGGATGGCTAACTTGCTCGGCTCACCTCTAGGTTTCTACGTGGCCCTGGTGGTGTCCCGCTGGTGGGCGCAGTACGAGAGCATCCCGTGGCCTGACCGCATCATGAACTTGGTCTCCTGCAACGTGGATGGGGAGGATGAATACGGGCGGCTGCTGCGTCGCACCCTGATGCGCTACAGCAACCTGTGCAGCGTGCTCATCTTGCGCTCCGTCAGCACGGCTGTGTACAAGCGCTTCCCCAGCATGGAGCACGTCGTGAGGGCAGGTCAGTACTGGTACTGCCCTCGGCACAGCTCTGGGCCAGGCAGGCAACAGATCCCTGCCACTTGACCTCCACTCTGGAGCAGAGATGGTGCAGTTCTAGGACACGAGTTATCACATTCTCAACAGTTGTCTAAATACACTACGTAACTGCACCCTCAGCAGTTCTCTATCTCCCTGCTGGCTGGGATCTGGTCAGACATTCTGCAGACATCCAAAGTCTACAGCTTTCTTACCAGGAGTGCGGGGGGCAGAGAGCCAAGGGACGGGACCCAAACATGGAGCTGTGTCAGGGGAGAGGCGGGCTGGGGGTTAGGGAAAGGGGCACCAGAAAGCAGTGGGCATGGAACGGGCTGCCCAACCCCAAGATGCCAGAGTTGAAGGAGATTTTGGACAACGCTTTCAGACAGAGGATTTGAATTTCGAGTGGTCTTGTGTAGAGCCAGGAGTTGGACTCTATGAACCTTATGGGTCTCTATGAACCTTATGGGTCCATTTCAACTTGGTTTATTCTATGAAATAAGAAATTCTTCTTGCATTCATTTAAAAATCAGTATTTTAACAAAACTTGCCATCCTTTTCTGCATCCAAAGGCTGAATGCCCAAGTCTTTCCTGTAATTATAAGAAGAGATAAGGTGACTACCTTCTGCTCTCTATGGCCTTCTGCTCTCTATGATTCCTTTCTCATCTGTTCTTTTCCACTTAGGCCTCATGACACCTGAAGAGCACAAGAAGTTTGAGAGCTTGAATTCTCCCCACAATAAGTTTTGGATCCCATGCGTGTGGTTCTCCAATCTGGCTGTGAAAGCAAGGAATGAGGGGAGGATCCGGGACAGCGTGCTGCTCCAAGGCATCCTGAATGTGAGTGACAGTAGGCAACTGAGATCCTCATGCAGTCCTCCAGGTGGAACTGCAGGGATTTAAGAGGTCAGGCAAGGAACCGAAATGTTGAGGTGGGATGTCCAGACAGTGAGCCATGCCTGTCCCTGGGGATATTACATTCATTTTGATGAGAAATACCCCCACTGCCACTTTCCAACTGGTGACAGAGTAGAATTTTTCATGGCCTGTTGACACATCGGTGATGCCACATGCAGCAGAGGCTAAAGAATGTAATGTCTTTCACAAAATTGGGACTGGGAGAAACCATCTGACTCACATCTAGGTGTAGTCATAGGAGACACCCATGTAGTGTGTACTGGATCAAACTTCCTCCACCATTCACACATTCCAGCGTCCAATGAAGGTCTCTAGGATACAACTGTAAAGCCACAAGGAAGCAAAGCATGTGTCTGGAAAAAAGCAGAAGTCAAAAGCACATTAAACAACCAGCATCCCTGCAGACAACGTCTTTATTGAAAACCCTCAGATAGTCCTGGGATGCAGGCCATGTTCCACAGGCAGGACCTGGCATTGGTCCTTGCAGAGCTGCAGAGAAAAGAAAGACTCTGGAGCAGCTCATCCCCTCTAAGATTCACGTGCTGAGAGGCCTATGTTGTTTCTATTGCCTGGGGTGAGTTTCATCCCTCTGGGCTGTTCATCTAGGCTAACAAGTCAAAAGAGAGAGATGGTTATTTCTAAGATATCTTTGCCTCTGATCTGTTGAGACACTCACTTTGTGAGGAGATAACCTCTGTTATGAAAGAAGCTAAGAAGGGACTCAAGTCTCAGACAGAGACATCCAGGTAGCAAGGAGATCCTCCACAGCAAGTATGAGACCCTGCTGGTGTTCTGCTGGGGGAGGGCTTGACCCCAATGCAGCCCTGACTGAGCCCCACCTTCCAGAGAGGTGTGATCAGGAGGGGATGGGCAAGGACACACAAATGTAGTGCCAACAGGTCTTTCCTTCTCCCTACTGCAGGAGCTCAACACTTTGCGCAGCCAATGCGGGCGGCTCTATGGGTATGACTGGATCAGCATTCCCCTGGTCTACACCCAGGTGAGATGGGCTTCCCCCACATCCGTGGCTGCACTGCCTACACGTGCTGCTTTGGAATCTCCTCTGACCCCATACTTGCCCTACACACAGACCACGTTGATGCCACATATGATTGGACTTCTCACCCATGCCTGCACATGCAAGCCCCATGCTGGCTCTCACACACACATAACTCATAAGCACACACATTGCCCAGCCTTATTTCTGTAATTCACAGCAACCTCTACAGAAACACTCTCCGAGTGTAATTAGTTACCTGTAAGGTGCTCCATATGAGTGCACAGAAAACACAGATACATGCAGATCCATGCCCTGCAGAGAAGAGATATCACTGTAGTTTAGGTCCACAGAGCTATGTCAGGCTGTAGAAAAGACTGGGCCCAAATTGACAGCTCCTCTGGCAGCCTCAGTTGGGTCTTGGAGTTGTGAGCAGGATTTACCAGATGGACTGGAACAGTCTCCTCTCTGCAGAGCATGACCCATTTTTCTATGGTTGCCCATCCACACTGCAAAGTTTGTCTTTGCAGGCACGCTGTAACGTTTGCATCTTGAAGCAGCCCTGTGCTGTTCCCTTCTGGGAAGTGCCTGGCTAACTCAAGAGTCTCATGATGCCGGGTGTTTGATTTGAACCTTCCTGCTTGACACGAGTCTCGGCTGTTATTAATTTGAAAAGTGGAAGTTTCCAGTCTCGTGATTGCACAGAAAAGTACAGAGTTCATTGTAGCTTGAAATTTGGGCAAGCAAGCAGGCAAATATAAAAATATCCTTCATTAGGACCAAACCAGAGCTGGCACTAATGCTCAGGGTTCCCCTCCCAGATATGGAAAATGCTTACCAAACTGTGAGGGGCTACAGAGAACTACTAGGACAGAGATGTCATTCCAGGGACAGCGTGGAGTGAAATGCAGCGTACATAACGACGAAGGGCAGAGGGTACACAAAGTTTTCTGCAGTGAAAATTAATCTTCCTGCAAAAAGCAGAGGGGAAGCTTGTTGTAACCGAATACAAGGCTTTCAAGAGCTCCTGAGCCAGCAGCTCACTGCAGTTTTGATATAAGTGGGGTGGGAACAAAAAAGAAAAACGCTGAGAAAGCAAGTAGGGAACTTAAGTTTCTCTGGTGTGTCCCCTGGCATCTTTCCCAGGTGGTGACCGTGGCTGTTTACAGCTTCTTCCTGGCCTGTCTGATCGGGCGGCAGTTCCTGGATCCTGAAAAAGCATACCCTGGCCATGAACTAGATCTCTTTGTGCCTGTCTTTACGTTTTTGCAGTTCTTCTTCTACGCTGGCTGGTTAAAGGTACGTCCAAGAAATTATGCCTGGAGCTGGAATCCGACCCATTGGGTTTTTCCCAGTTGGTGCTCACAAAGAACCCAGCTGTGCACTGTGGCCTATGGGCAACGTGTCAGCTGCTGGGAGACAAATGGAGAGCCAACGGGAGCTAAGGACAATGCTAACACTCTCAGGTTCTCTGCATCTCACTTGACAATCAGCTTCACCTTTCCTAAGTTTGGGGGAAAAGAGAGGCAGTGGACTGCATTACCTATATATCAATGCTTCCTAGAAACTGGCAAGCTTCTGTTTTTAAGCCACCCCCTTTTTGGGAGAACCCAAATTCAGGGTACATCACCCTTGAGTGCAGTTCTGGGCTCTGTCCAATAGACCTTCTCCCTGCAGGGAAAGGGGTGGCTATGAGCATGACCTTTGTTGTGTGTTCTCCACGTGCAGGTGGCCGAGCAACTAATTAACCCTTTTGGGGAGGATGACGATGACTTTGAAACCAACTGGCTCATCGACAGGAATCTGCAGGTAAAGTGAAAGCAGAATTCTCCTGACCTGCAGAGGAACACTTAGGACTGCACCTAAAGTTTCACTTGGGCCTTTGGTCCATTTCCCAGCACACACGATGGGTCCAGATTCTGTTTCAGACCCTCACTGCCTTTCAGTGACACAGTGAATGACATAATTTCTGCCTTTTCCTGGCTTTTCCCACACCATGCCTGCACCTATAATCACCTCCTCTGATTTCTTCTGTGCAGTAACTCTCCTTCAGAAGAACTCCCTACCTAACACTAAGCTCATCGGTTCTAGTGAGCATATTGCTTTCATTTCTCATCCCACACCACTTTCCTTGTAATTAACCAAATCTTTCCGTGCAAAAAAAAACCAAAACAAACAAAAAACCAAACCAAAAAAAAACCAAACAAATAAAACACCCACCCTACAATTGACAGGAAACCACATAGCAAATCCAGCTGCTTGTTTCACTTCCATGCTACATGGCACTCTTCTGCCCTGCATCCTTTTGTCTGCTGCTAACAGGCTGCTGACTTTGACATTCCTGCTGTTCCCCCCAGGTCTCCCTTATGGCAGTGGATGAGATGCATCAGGATTTGCCCATCCTGGAGAAGGACCTATACTGGAACGAGCCCGATCCCCAACCACCTTACACTGCAGCCACCGCTGAGTACAAGCGCCCATCATTTCTTGGATCAACCTTTGATATCAGGCAAGTGCAATTACAGGGAGTCAGAACAGACCTTAGCATTTACACCGTAGAGCAGGTGCAGTGCAGGATATTGTACTTGAGTAAGAAAGAACACTATATTCCTATCTAGTCTGTGAAACCTTGCTCTAAAATACTTACAGATTTGTCCAAAACTGACAGCCAGTATCTTTCTTCACAAAGAAAACCTCTGATCTCTTGCCCACCTCCTCTACAGCAAGCACCCTGTAGCGGAGGGCCTAACACATAACTGATGTGGCAACACAGAAGAAGCTTGCCATTGGCAGCAACGCTCTCTGTGATGCCAGTCTCACCACCAGAAAGCACCATGTTCTGTGACTGCATAACAGTCTGTTTTGCCTTTCCCCAGCATGCAGAAAGAAGAGATGGAGTTCCAGCCCCTGGAGCAAATTAAAGAGAATGAGGAAGCAAACCATTCCACACCACTACTGGGACACCTGGGCCGCCTTCTGGGTGTCCAGTCACCAAGTTTCTCCAGGTCCTCTTCTCGGATGAACCTACTGCGCAGGCGAGGGGAGCCCACGTCCCCCTTCTCCCATTACATGTACCAAGACATGGGCAAGCCAGGAAACATCAGTCAGCCAAGGGGAGACACCAACTCACAGGAGCAGTGGGACGGTGAGGATGGAAAACTGAGGGAGTTTGATGCCTTCATATCTACCCCATTTTATGAGAGACCTGGTTTCTACAGTGCTCCACAGACACCCATCAGCTCCATCCCCATGATCTTCCCTTCTAGACGGCAAGGGCGCAAGAAGCCCCCTGCACTCTCCAGCATAGCTGCATGCTCAAATTCTCTCAAGGACGTCGTTGTCAACTCCTCACCTTCCAGGATGAGTGATACGTACAAAAGCCAGAGCTCCCTCGGCTCAGGTGCAAAGGAAACATTTATTTGGCCAACAGAACGGAATAAAGGTCCTGACTCGCTGGTCGTAATGGTGGAAGAAGAAAAGAGCAACTCTAGCAGTAAAAGCAGAGAAGCTGCCATCACTGGAAGTCCAGCAGCTCTGTCCACAGCATCAGACAGCCCTAAATTCCCTTTCCTAGCAGAATCCCCAGACCACGAGCAGCAGGGCAGCTTCAAAAGTCTGAAGAGTTTAAAAGGCTCCCACCCACCCTGGCTAGCTCTGGAGAACGCAACAACAACCACCCCCAATTCTGAGCAATCGAGTGCCCTCCCCCAACCTAGCAACATACCGCCCAGCAGCAGCACCTCCCTCTGCTTCTCATTCACTCCTGTCTCATCCCCAGTGCTGGAGAGATCCCCCATAGGGAACAGAGGCCCCGATACTCACAGTCTAAGTTCAGAAGACACAGCTAGTGCACCAGACCAGCATCCATCGGAGGCTTCCAGGAGCACGAGAGATGCAGCAAACAGAAGCAATAACGCTCCTACGAGAGAGACAAGAAGAGCAGAAAGCCCATCCACTAATGACTCTGGCATCTCTCTCGCTGAGGGTGACTACGTGGGGCTGATGGAGGTGATCATGGAGACAAGTGAAAGCATATGTGAAGAGCAGATGGATCAGGGCAGCTAGAGGAGACTGACACACACGTGTATGCCAGGTAGAAATGATACTGCAGTGTCTTCACACCTGGTCCACACTAGCACTCATCCTCCTAAAAGAAGGGCAGTGCTGCCAGACTTCTTGCTTCTGGAATATTACTCACCTACAGCCCAGCACCAGTGACTCACCACTACTGGACTCAGGCCTAATAGCAGGCACTTGACCTCAGTGCCTGCAACAAGAAAAAAAAAAAAAAGACAAAAAATCTCTACACACTGTAGTAAAATAAGACTTCTAGCATTAGGAATTACAAATGCCTATGTAGAACCATAGCTGAACAGATACTGTTCTGAAGACTCTGGAATGCAAGTATAGCTCAAAGCAGAAGAGGTACGTAGTTAAGGACATTACAGCAACCGAAGCTCCAAGTTTACATGACTATTTGCCATAAGGCCCAGGACTTGTTAAGTTGCTCCAGGGAAAGAAAGGGACTGAGGCACAGCATTTGAGATACAGAGCCACAGTGCTTCATGAAGTCCTATCCAGCTGGTGTTCTCCAGCACCAGTAAAACGATAGGTTAAGGCTACTCAAAAAAGTGGCTGCCAACAACCGTACTTACACTGCTTCAAGTTTTCTATCATGCTTTGCTGATTTGAAAGCACTCCAAGCTATCCAGATGGTAGCAAACAACATAAAGCTAGGATTTTTAACAAGTTTTCTCTATAAAAAACAAACAAACCAACCAACCCTAAAAGCAAGGCAGAAGTCCAGGACCACTTCCTCATTTTAATTTCTACACAATAAAAGTTTAAAGAAACCACAAAGTTCTTCCTCTTTTCACAGAAAGCTGCATGTTCCCTTCAATCACAAGGGGCACGTGATAAATCCAGTCCACCCACCTCCCTTCCAATACCCTCACACAGTATTCCAACCCTCTGCCTGCCAGGCACAGCTGTTTGAGCTGGGCAAATAGCACTACATCCATATCTAATACCCCATGCATTATCTTTGAAAACAGTACCTGCAATAGTTTGTCTAGCTTATATTGTGAAGGATGCAAGAGCTATGTTTTTGTACACAGGCATAGTGCCATTTTTGTTAGACAGGCACAATCTGACCTAAATTCACAGGTAGTAGTTCAGGAAGCATAGAGCCTCAAGCCTTCCTCTTCCTGTACATTAAGACAGGAGCTTTGATGGCAAAGGCACTTGGAAACATGTTTCAGTTCCTTTGCAATCCTTGCAGGTTTCCCCCCCCCCCCCCCCAGTCAAGTGGTATTTACTAAAATACTGAAGTGGCTAGAGTTAAAACAGTTCCTCCAATTTACTTCTTCATCCATGCTCAGCTCAAGATAACTTTCTCAGTTAAGACTACAGAGCACAATCCTGCACATACACTTCTTAAAGGAAAAAAGAAAAAAAGCAGAAGCAGCCACCTTGAACCAAGTCACTTTATTGGATGGAAGGCAGTACACAAAACAAGAGAAAAGAGGGCTGATATTTGGAACAGAGTATAAGAACTGCTTATCTAGATAGCTGAAGACGCATGCACTGCTGGACCAGTAAAGCAGAAGTCCCCCTGAAACCCACAGGGCGGCTCTGGGCAAGCCTTCAGCTGTTGTCACATTCCCCCAGGGTGTGCTTGTCAAACAGGTACTCTGCCATGCCATACTTGGGTGCCCCCATCTTCCGCAGGTTGGTCACGTGGTCACCCAGCTCCTTGATGGCTTTCACCTGCTCATCCAGGTAGTGAGTCTCGATGAAGTCACACAGCTGGAAGGGAGAAGAAAGAAGTTTAGGCCTGAACACGGCTCACCCTACTGAAAAAAAATGAGCCAAGTATGTCTCAAGGTATGTAAGTACACAGTACAGCACTTCATGAGCATTTACACATGTAGAACAGTCAGCTACGTTGCTCCTTTTAAAGCAAATCCTTCTAGCTTGCACAGGATATTTCCCAAAGTACTCTGAAAACATAAGTTAACTCACAACTGGAGGCTTTACTACAGACATCATTGCCAGGGCTGGATTGAAGCTTTTTTAACTAAGAGGTTAGCAGCATGTGTCTGAATTGCAGCAGCCTAAAGTGTCAGCAGTTTTATCATTCCAAAAAATTGACTTTGGCCCCCAGTCAAGCCCCCTGCATACTGATAAACATACTTCTCTGCACAATGTTGTTCACATGAGTGCTTTCTGTTCTGACAAGCAGCAACAAAAGGGTTTGAGCACAGCTACACCCCCTATGCTCTACAACAGACCTTAGTCATCCTAATGTAACTGCTCCTCTGCTTGAAAAAAAAAGAAAACAAACCACCAGGACATTCCTCCTGGCAGAGCTGCACTAATTCAGCTCCCTTTCACCAGTGCACAGCTACAATCTTGCTTCAGCATCCACTTACGTGTGGGTCATTCTTTTCAGTTGCCAATTTGTGCAGTTCTAACAGCGACTGGTTCACGTTCTTCTCCAGGTGCAGGGCACATTCCATTGCAGTCAGTCCATTCTCCCAGTCATCACGATCTGGTTTCTAAAAGGAAAAAGACCATATTTTTTATAAAGCAAACAAATCAATAGAGAGCAAAGTCTTTTAGGTTGGTCTCAAAGTCTAAAGCTGCATCTAAAAAAGCAGTTTGCTGCACTATGCAGTTCTCCAGCAAGGCTCTTTACTCAAAACTCCTTAAACACAACCAAGCTCAAGCATTTGGGCCTTGGGGAAAAAAAAAAAACAAAAACAACTTGGCACTCACACTGCACTTAGGACAGAATTGAATGCAGACTAAAAGTCACAGAGAACAGATGTATGTCTGTTCTCTAAGCTCTCCTTACATTACATTCAGTGCAATCTTGGAAGGTTAAAACTTAGAACTGCTTTTCTTCCTCTGTTGTAATTTCATGGCCTAAACATCTAAGCAGGTGTCCTGTTTTTGGCTGAAATGTGCTAACCTTTGTTCATAGTGGTTGGTACGATGCCACCAAGAAGGAGAACAGTGTGATAACACTGATGTTTTAGTTGTTGAGCAGTGTTTGCACTAGAAGTCAAGCATTTTTCAGCTCCTCATACTGCTGTGCCAGCAAGGAGCTGGCTGTGCACAGAAGCAGTGCAGCTGACTGAAACTGCAAGAGATAGTCCATGCCATATGGTATCATGCTGAATAATAAAACTGGGGGAGTTTGCTAGGAGTGGGCTGTAGGAGTGAGCATCAGCCAGCAAGCAGTAAGCAACTGCACTGCACATCACTTGTTTGTCTCTCTCTTACATTCCCTTTCACTTCCCTGTGAACTGTCCTCACCTCAGCCCCTAAAATCCTTTTTCTAATGCTTGCCCCCATCCAGTGGAGAGGGGATGGAGTGAACAGCCGTGTGGTGCTGAGCTGCCTGCCACATTATGCCACTGTATAGGTATAACCTCCAAGAAAACAAAGCAGTTCAGATATCAACTTGCCTGTTTGGCTAGATATTTTTTCTAAAGTGGCTGTCACTTACTGTTTTCCCCACAAAGAGTTGCTATACATTAAACTGACATTAGTTTAATGCCATTAGTAATTAGCAAGAATTGAGTAAAGGGACTTCAAGCAAATCATGCCATGAAGTCTTGCAGCAAGTTACTGATTCTAACTGGAAACAAGTGGTTTTGTTATCTCTAGTCACAACACTAGAGAGCCAAGGCAGCACATGCAGTTGAACTCAAGATAGCTGAACTAGTTATATTCTAGTTCACTGTTTCCTGCACCCCCACCCCCTCTAAAACCACTATAAGCTATGTATGTGCAGCTGTTCTCATGGAGGAACTGCTTCTTAGTAGTTGGTCAGCAAGTTAATGTGCATACCTAGACTTTGCCCAGACTGATCACAGCAACACATGCGCTCAACCACTGGCAGCTGCTGCTGCTTTTCTGCAGGAGGCCTCTGAGGGGAATTCCTTCCCCTACGGCCTGGAGACAGGCCCCAAGACTAGTTCTGCATTAGGTCTGAGAGCCCAGAGAGCTAGTGCTCACCTTGATGTCCTGCAAGAAGATGCGCCCACCCCTCTGATTCTGCAGCTTCATCAGCTTCTCAGCATGTTCACGCTCCTCGTGGGACTGGTGCAGGAAGTACTTGGCAAAGTTTTTCAGAGCCACATCATCCCGGTCAAAATAGTAGGACTGAAAATAAGAGTTCATGTGCTCAGAAACTCAAGCTTCACTCTTGCAGCCACACAAAGCAAAGTCTACGCTGTAACTTCAAATATCTCAACCTCTCCAGAAGGCCAGAGCCCAAGCTGTGGGTAATCAGCAGCAGGGTAACACGACCAAAATCTTCCCTCCATGGGAAGTTCAGTATTCCCAGCTAGAATTAAGTTTTATTGGATTATAACCCATGTCTTGATAAGTAGAAGTAACTGGCATTTTTGGTTCACTTCTGATGTGTGAAATCCCACACACCACTAAAATATTTTTCTGACTTCTGGACCATCTTGCTTTCAAGGATTGTTTTCCCACTCCTTCTATTCATAGTGGTCACAAGTCAAAGTTCTAGTCGTAACACCTGCTAAGAGTAGCCAGAAACGTTAAGGTGCTTCTTCATAAGGCTTTCACACATATTCCAGCAGATTTAGCAGGTATTAGACTAGCAAGTATCCTTCGTACTTCTGAAAAAACCTTCAGTATTACATTTAAAAGTGAAAAAGCTTAACTGTAAGTATAACATCTATTCAATAGCCAATACAACATCAGCTCTTGAAAGCCAGAAGATTTGTGACAGCGGGTAGAAGCCAGCCCACAGCTCTTTTTTTCTTCGGAGAGAGACGTAAAGCAGAGTTCAATAGAAAGCTTTGTATCTGTGCCAGCTATCTACCAGGCAAGAACCTGCACAGCTCTCAGCTCTGACAGCAGCAGCTGGGAGGCTCACAGGACAGCGGTGTTTGTGTACCGCTATCACAACAGCTACATTCAGCCTGCAGTGGAGGTTCGCACCTTCACAGTGACACAGCAGCAAGCCGTTAAATCCTACACCAAAAGGCTGCAATACAGGACAGCCAGGAAGTTTCCCACACGGGTCAGAGCTGCTGCCTGGACTGAAGGCACCAGCTCCGCTACAGCTAAACCGAGAGCTGCGTGCCAAGCCATTAAGGCGAGCACGGAACAGGGGATGCCACGGATCCCTCCCAATTCACCTCAAAAGCAGGACTCGAGAACCCTGCCTCCAAGCAAGCCGCTGGGAGAGCCGCCAAGCGCTGCGTCGGGCAACCGCTGCTATGCAGCCCTGCCCCGAGGGCAGAGCCGCCCAAGAGCGCTGAGCGGCGCTGATAACAGCCGACGACGCGCAGCTAACGCGCGGCCGAGGCTCGCCCGGAGATAAGAGCCCCCACCTCCCCCCCGCAGCCAGCGAGCGGCTCGGGCCGCCCCCTCCCCCGAGGTGAGGAACGCAGCGCGGCTGCGCCGGGAGGCACCGCCCGGAGCCGCCCCCCGCCGGGCCTCGGCCGCCGAGACGCGGGGCCGCCGGCCGCCCGCTCCCCTGCCGCCGCCCCCCCTCCGCCGCTCACCATGCTGAGGTACACGTAGGAGGCGTACAGCTCCAGGTTGATCTGCCGGTTGATGGCGGCTTCGCAGTCCTGGTGGTAGTTCTGGCGCACCTGGGAAGGAGGCGTAGCCATGGCGCTGCCGAGAGAGAGATGCGGCGAATACGACGGCTGCTGTGGTGGCGGCGGGAGGGGGAAAGGCGGCGGGCCCGAGCGCGGCCGGTTCCGTCCAAGCACTGTTGACGCAGGAACCCGCTCCGCTCAGCCTCGCCGACGCGCTCTGGGAGCTGCCGCCCCGCGCGGCCCCTTTTATACCGCCG